CGCCGTGCCAACTTCCCCAGCCCACGTCCCGGGGCTGCTGGCCACAGCCCCTCGGCCCCGACACCTTTAGTTTACATTTGGGAAGTTTACTGAACTTAAGCCCTTCCCAAATGGAAGTGGGATGCTAGAATGAAGAGTCCCCACCAGAAAGATAAGGTAGGGGGCATTAGTACACACCTCCCCGCTCAGCTGGGAAAGACAGCTTGGGCCAAGGCTAGCCTGCCCAACCTATGGGGAGGGGGGGGGGGCAAAGCATCCTGGGATGCTGGGGGACTATGAGTTAACTTGAATCTGGAGGGGATCTGGGACAGAAGTACAAAAACTGATTTAACCTAAATCAGTTAAGTCTGCTACTACATCCACAAACATAAACCACTTTCAAAATGGTTGAAAGTGGTTTAAGATAAACCTAGATAGGTTTATCTTAAACCACTTTCAACCATTTCAAAAGTGGTTTATGTGCATTTAACTTTTGTTGTGTTACGGATTTGAACTGGTTTCCAATCACTTATACCTGTTTGTGTGTAATTTCTGTCCGTAGCCCATGAGTCTCAGATTTTCCACTAGCAAAAAAGCTTAAACTTCACAGCTTTCTCTACATGAACAAGGCTTCCTTCCCCTACCTTAGGCTGATAACTGCCTGGCTCCTATCAGAGGTGGGACAGCAAATCTTCTTACAAAGTCAGTAACAGAATCCAGGAACCAGATTCTGTCATGCATCTCAAAGCACTGATCACATCCTGAAGAAGTAGATTTAAGCCATCCAGATTCTATACTCGTCTGAAGGCTATCACAGTGTGTGCAGCATAAGTAAGAACAGAACCAAGGCAGTTCAAAAGACAGCACACTGTAAATCCACATTCTAGTTTACAGCACAATAACTTCCCAGACAAACCCTTAGGCATCTGAAGAAAACTGCTTTATGGATTTCCCTGCAGACCAAAACTGCCAGAACACTGCTGCTTTGCTACACGTACTTCCATCTCTGAAGCTTAATTACGTGATCAAGCATTCTTTGTTCTACAGGATCACTTGCTGCCTCTTAGAGTACAGGAGGGACTCAGTGAGGGTCTGATGTTTTAGCACACCAGACTATAACAGGAGCATTCTGTACATGGGTCTGCCACAAAATCCCTAGGTGACACAAGTCTGTCATAAAACATGTGTTAGAACACCCAGTTCAGGTGACAGAGTACCTTAATTTTGGCATTTCCTAATTTTTTGAGTATTTGACTTCCACCCTTGATTGTTATTTTAACTATTTTTGTGTGTCAATTACACTACTGAAAAAAACATGCATTAAACTGTTTCCTATGGTTTTAGTTACCGAGTACATTTTCTCTGTCTAAAGCCCTTGCACAGTTTCTATTGGATTAAATGTCATCTTTCCACCTTAACTACTACATAGTACTGCTGGCAGCTAAATAGCTAGAGTGCCACTGTGGGGTGGAGCACGGTCTTTGGGAACTGCAGAGATCCTTGAACAAGTAACATTTATGACACTGTATTTTTGGATGAACGGTGATATAAATGGAAATAATTAATTCTGGCTCATCAGCATGGTGTATGGTGGCAGATGACTTGCTAAAAATGTAAGCCAAAGCTACTCAGCAAAAGCAAGTTTCATGATTAATTAAAATAGATTTGTTTGAAAATGTTTGACTGCCTATGGAATCCTTATTAAAGATTCACACTGTATTTCTACTGTGTTACTGACTACAATCAATAGCTCTTTCAACATTATGTTCTCAGATCATTCAGATCTCCTGTCTAGTTAATGTGATAGAGATAGCTTTAAAGGAAATATTTTCACCATTCCTTCTGTAATGACAGAATACAAGCATCATATATCATCCCCTACTTTAAAAATTATCTTATTTGATTCTTTCTTTATAATCTAGAAGGAATCTCTATATTGTGTTTCATTCTTCAGTTCTGAACTAAGACTAAAGCGAGTCAAGTAAAAAACGCTGAATAAGGATGGACACAAGCCTTATGGTATTGAATTAAGTGACTAAAATCCATCTAGTGAGAAAAAAATACATTAATGGAACAATGAGTGCTTGAGACACAGAAAATAACTATTATTAAAGTGATGCTATTTGCACCACTATACTTAAAAGCCTGTCTGCATTTCCAATGTCAGCCACATTGTTCTGGAGTTTATAACTCAGCTTTAAAAAGAGAAGAGCTCTCTTTACTCAAGTTTGACAGTTTTAGAGGCCAAATGTTTTCTAAAACTTTTTTTCCCCAATTTGGTTAAAGCTATTTGTCAGAGGAATAGGAATAGCCACTAAATTGAATCAAGTTGATATATTTACTACAAGACCCAACTCACTGAAGTCTATAAAGATTTATGCATACATAGACAGGATCCCACACAGAACCAGAATTATGTGGCTTTAAGTTTAAGTTTTTCAAACTTCAAAGTCACCTGGTTATAGAAAATGACCTTGAAAACATGCAACCAAGCATGTAAACCAGGGGTTGGCAACCTATGGCCCCTAGGCTGAATCCAGCCTGCAAAGAGGTCTGATTTGGCACAGGGCACTATGCAAGTGCATCATGGTGCCCAATACCTCCACACAAAGCTCCCATAAAATTCTGTTGTGCCAGTGCTTACCCTTCATGCAAAGGGGCCACATATCTGCAGTGAGAGGAAGTACAGGCAAGGCAGCTTGAGCTTTGCCAGCTCAGGGCCAAGAAGTTGCTAATCCCTAGTGTAAGCAATAGAGTGATTTCAGACTGGTTGCCAGGTCTGAACTGCCCCACTCAGCTTGCTGACTTTTTTTTTTTTTTTTTGTTAATGTAAAGCACAACCATTAGTTTCTTCTGCTAAGGACAGTGTCAATGGGACACCAAGCTGGAACTCAAAAGCAGCATGCACACTGAGAGTAGCTGGGTACAGCTATGTGGGATCCGGCCCTCAAGAACCACAGAGGAGGCAGAGCCAAGGAGAGGTATGGATGAAGCCAGTCCATGGGCTGGAGGTGAAAGGCAGACAGGACCCCCAAAACTATCGCTTGGTTTGAGTACAAGGGTTTGTAGACTGACTTTATTTTTATTAACTGGGACTTAATAAAAAGCACAGTTCCACAGAGAATCATAGAAAATTAGGGTTGGAAGGGACCTCAAGAGGTCATCTAGTCCAGGAGTTTCCAACCTTTTTAGATTGCGGACCGGAAGTGACCGCGGACCAGCAAACTGAGGACCAGCAAAGCGCAGTCTGGAAGTCACCAGCATACTGCAAACTGGCAGCCAACCCTTTTTCATACAGAGGATAAAAAAAGGTTGGCTGGCCGCAGCTCAACCTTCAACGCCGGGGTTGGGAACCTCTGATCTAGTCCAAGCCCTTGCTCAGAGCAGGACCATCCACAGCCGGATCAGCCCAGCCAGGGCTTTGTCAAGCCAGACCTTAAATACCTTCAAGGATGGAGAGTCCACCACCTCTCTAGGTAACTTAATACCAGTGCTTCATCACCCACCTAGTGAGAAAGTTTTTCTCCAATATCCACCCTAAATCTCCCTTGCTGCAATTTGAGACCATTGCTCCTTGTTCTAGCATCTGCCACGACCAAGAACACCCCAGCTCCATCCTCTTTGATACCCCTTCAGGCAGTTAAAGGCTGCTATCAAATCCCCTCAGTCTTCTCTTCTGCAAACTAAATAAGCCATCTCTCCTCATAAGTCATGTGCCCCTGAGCCCTCACCATTTTCACTTGAACTCCCTCAAACTTGTCCACCTCCTCTCTATAGACCCAAAATGAAGATTTCTGTGGGCAGACTGAACTCAAGGCCCATGCAAAGGAGACGGGGATGGGAGAGGGGCTGTTGTGATGCTTTTCCTTGTGCCTTTCAAATACGCTGTGGCCCCTTATCATCTTCGATTGACCTTAACCGCACACACCTCACCAGAGCACAGAGCAGCTGTGCAATGAGATCTGCAGCCCTCCATGCAGAATTCAGAGCCAGAGGCTGGACCCATTCCACACGTGGCCTTCAGCTGGCATGCCAGGCTCCAACCAGGCAGGCAAGTTTCTTTGGGTCAACCTGATATCTTTCATTAGACCAACTCAAACAGTTGGAAAGATTTTAACTGGTCTAATAAAAGATATACTGGATCGCCCCAAAGAACCTTGCCTGCCTGTGTCCCGAGACCAACATGGTTCCAAGCAAGACACGCTGCCAGGTGGCCTGGAGGGTTCTGCTCGTGGGGCTCTTTACAAAACAGTTCTGAGCTGACCAAGGATTCCTGCAAGGCTGCTGCTTTTCCACAATGCCGATTCAGAGCAGTGTGCGGGGAGGGGGCTGTGACAGGGACACCCGAGGGGGCAGCGGGGCCGCCTGCGGGGAGCTGGGTTCCCGCCAGCAGGAGGCAGCGCCCGGGCTGCGGCCGTTAACGGAGGGGGAGGGGGGCGGTAATTGGCCCCGGGAGG